AAGGAGTAAAAGATTTATCGAGCCTAAAGGGTTAGGTAAACATTGTTTTTCAATGGTGGAAATTATCGTACTGATAGAAAAAATCAGCAGTATTATATATCATTATATACTGCACTTAATAAGCAGGAGTGTATATATTGATCGGGATGTTCGTCCGTCCGTCCGTTACGCTTTGGGGTATCCATCTCTTATCCGCAACTCCTCTTATATATAAAAAATGTGTTTGTGAAACAGCTATGCCCCTGTATGGCAACTTAGCGAAGATTAAACTTTTCTTAAATGCAATTTAAATATATTGGTCCCCAAAGTAGGGTCTTCTCACAAGAAATACAATTGCAAAATAGGAAAGCCCTAGCACCACTTCTTCAAAAGTAATGTCTAAAGTTTTTGAAAGGTGGGTCAAACTCAAAGGTCAAAGGGTTAAAGTTAATAGTTTCTTACGAAAGATTTAATGTAACAAGGATTACAGATGTGAAGTAAGAAAACCCTAGCTCTTACCGCTCAAAAGTTAAGGCCAAGGTTAAAGTTTTTTCATAAGGTCAAGGTCAAAAGGTCAAAGTTTTTAGTATCCAATGAAGGTCAATTTAATAAAATACATATGTAAAGTATGAGAGAACTAGTATCTACCGTTTAAAAGTTTTGGCCAAAGTAAAAAAAAATGACATTTTGTGTAAAATGGGACAAACTCCAAGATAAAGGTCAAATTTGGTGGTACCCAAAGTAAGGTCTTGTCACATGGAATACACATATTATATATGAAAGTCAAAGCTCCAATAAATGAAAAGTTATGGACAAGGTTAAAGTTTTTGCGGACAAATAGACCGCCAGATAGACAGACAGACATACTGACGGACACGTTAAAACTATATACTCACGAATCTTCAATTACGGGGACATAAAAGAAATGATCTCCAATTAACTTTTCATATCATGATACAGAATAAAGAAGAGGTTACAAAAATGAAAATGTTTGTTCTGATTTTTATATTAAATTCTCTGAAAAATATACTCAGACCTGAGTAAAGGGGTGGAGTAAAACAAGAATTAAGAAATGTAATGAATACTGTGTGCTGAATCAAAAGGTTATGTCTACATGTAAAGTTTTTTCATTAGACTAGCCCAGAGCTTTACAGAGCATATTTTAGGTGTTATACCCACTCCACCCCCTTACTTATTAAGGAGGAAGTCGATAATCAACAAAAGCAACAACAAAAAATCTATCCTACCTTTATTTTTCTATAAGGAGGGACTAAAATAAGCTTAAAATAATCTACTTTTATACTAATTTTCAACTGTTACTTTGCGGCAATACTTTCAAGTATACCCCCACCAACATTTAAAGTATGCTTTAATCACGGCGAAGTAAATTATGATATGATAGTACTTGTGTGAAGGCTTAACCTCATTTCAATATTTTATCTAGAGCCTTTTTAAGTATTATTGAAAGGTATAGAGTTTTATTTATATTTTTGCTTTTCATTTATTTATTATTTTTTTGTTTTGTTTTGATTTAACGTAATGTTCTTTGGGGGGGGGCTTTATAAAAAGAATATGTATTTGCAAAGATTTTAAATATTTTTAATCATATAGTGATAGTCTGCATGTATAGGATGGAACATATAAAAAATACAGCATCGAGGCGTCCTGTCATCTATTTCTATTTTAGCTCACTATAATGAAACCTTATTAATTCGAACAAATTACTTATTTGTACGCACAGATATTAATTCGTCTGCTACAAATTTCTACTTTTTCCCAACAAATATTTTTTTTTTCTGAAAAACGTATCCATGGAGCCAGTAAAGAAAAAAAATATATATTCATAAATTTCATCTCCAGCGTGCATTTGATCCATTTACATGTACCATCCATTTTCAGGTTTGCTCCTTTATCAGAGAAATGAAGATTAATTGATTAATTGTTAATTGCCTAAAACTGATTTGTCAATATCTCCAGAAACCGAAGTTTACTACCCCTACGTGCTAAGAAGAACAAAGATCATGAATTACTCGAAGGAAGAACAATTATAATATACAGCATATTTTTCCCTTTCACCTGTTATAAATTTTGCATCACTTTAAAGGGGGTCATTTTACAATATGGGTCAATTTTTTTATAGGACTAACATATAAAATATATTTAAAAAAATGAAACCGGGTGGGGGTCATTTTTACCTTGTAGAAAACCGGTCATTATTCAATGGGGGTCATTATTTGTCTTTACACCGTCTGTCCGTCTGTCTGTTACGCTTTGAATCTTAAATCCGCACAATAACATTGGTGAAATTTAATAAAACTTTTATGGAATTTTATTACATATTTCCATTGTGCACCTCCTATTTTACTTTTTGAGATGGCCACGGCAAAAATGGACTTTGTCATTTTAACCACATGGAAGGCCGAAGGGGGGGGGGGGGGGGGGGGGGGGGGTATTATTCATAAACTGCTCACAGTACCTCTAGTATTTTCTGCATTCATGCATTGACATTTTTTTTTGGACAAATATACATGTATTTGGAACAGAGAACATTTCCACCCTTTTCGTAAACGAATTTCAATTGTTTCACTTTTGTAATAATTTTGCTAACAATGAAAAACAAAAAAGAAACGTTTAAAGGTTAACCTTTCATACTACAAAGCAATCTGAGTCTGTATTGATTCCTTTGTTCAATATTGGTGAATACAATCGGCCAAAAAACACATATGATCACGGGTATTGTCTGTTTAAAGGTACTTGGACACATTTGAAGTCATTTTTTTTCTCTATAATATAACGAATTATATATTTTAATGGCATTTCACACAAAAATTAATTAAAAATCTTGTTTTATTTAAAAGTTATTAAAACTTCAAATTTTTTGGCATTCGACACATCCTTGCACTTTTACAAATTTTAATTTTACATTAATACTTAGGAAAAAATCTTGTTGTGCATGAATGAAAAATATTAATACTATAATCCAGAAAATTCTAGTGATGTGAAAGTGAACACACAATATATGTTTGCAGTTTTCATTTACAATTGAACGCAGGTGAAATCAAAACATCAACAAAAACAGAGTTCCTGCCTTGTTTACAAAAACTGTGTACATAAACGATGTATCGATTTGCACACACGACTTACGGAATGACATACTTGTGAAGGCGTTTTGCTTTCAAACATTTCTACTCTGAATAATTTTTTTTTCTGGATTAACGTTTTAATATGTCTCATTAAAACACAACAAGATTGCCATTTTTCTGAAGGATTAAGAATAAAATTAAAATATGTGAAAGTGCAAGGATGTGTTGAACCCCCCCCCCCCCCAAAAAAAAAATTGAAGTTTTAATAACTTATAAATGAAATAAGATTTTTAATTAATTTTTGTGTGAAATGCTAATAAAATATATAATTCGTCATATTACAGTGTATTATACAGAAAATATTAACTTCAAATCTGTGTCCAAATACCTTTAAATGGGTAGATGCTGCTTGGTTTCTTTACCCTTGAAGCTCTAGTGTTCTGAACTTGACACAAACTACTTTTTATTATACATATTTTCTAGCTAACGACAAATTGAAAATGCAAGTGACATATTTCATAGTTTCTAATCTTTGTATTTTTTCATATGAACATTTCTGTAGCCCATTTAATATCGATCATAGATTCACCTGAACAACGTGTTCAAAGTAAATAAAAACATGTATAGTTAGCGTAAACGTTGTGTATAGTTAGCGTAAACGTTGCTATTCATTCAACGATTGGTTAGTTGGTGCGCGGTAAAATAAGCCGTGCGCATTGATAACAATAGCCATATAAGGCATACAAAGATTTGTCAGTGGAAGTGCTATTGTAAACATATTTTTTCCTACCAAGGTATCGGGTTATTTTGGTTAAACCAATTTTCGCCATCAGTTGTCACAAAAGCAAAGGTAAAGTATTTTGTTTTGACACATATATCCTCAGAAAGATCTGTAAACACATTTTTACTGTTCATGTTTTCAGAATACAGACTATAGCATTTTCCAGTTTATTGCCAATTTTATTTATAAAACCGGTTCTACCTAGTAACCTTTAAATGGGTCAACCTAAACCACGTAGCTTGAATTTAAATCACAATAACATTGGTAGAAGTTGTAATGATTAAATTTTATAAGTAGAGATAAAAAAGGTTCATAAAGTACCGGTACTCCTTAATAAATCTAAAGTAAGATTTTTTTTTACGTATCTCTACCTACTAAAAAGTAAGGTAACCTATCCCAAATATAGATCGTCCTGTAATAAGAAGTTACGTGGGGGTTGGTCTTTTGCTCATTATTAAAAAAAAAACTTATCTTTATTTGTCCCTACTGTAAAGCAATGCATTCGAAATTTTACCAAAAACATTAAGTGGAAAAAGAAGAATATCAAAATAATATGAATGTTCTAGTGATATGGTATACAGAATATGTTTATTTTCATTTACACAAGTGTTAATTAGAGCTCCTACTTACATTCATAAATTACAACAAGAACTGCATCTTCGTTATTGCACTTGCATGATTGCTGTTTCTATTTACCACTTATAATAATCTTATTTTAATATGACAAGTAACATTTTGAAATAAAATAAAAAAATGGCCCATTTTTTTCAAATATTAGATGAATACTCAGTTTAAGTTTTAATTTACTTGCTGATGAAGGGTACATGTTTTGACGTTAACATTTATTTTTTAATCATGGATTTATTCCAATAACAAAATACTCCCTAGCCCTATTATATCTAATATAGTATTTGATATGGAAAAATAAATGTAATTTATTTAGTCCGTACTACCACGTACTCACAAAACTCATACAACGAGTTAAAGACTTAATTTCCCACCAGACAGAAGTTTTCACTGCTTGCACTGCATGTTATGGTTGATATTTTGGTTTAAGTGTTTCTGACAATATAATCTCAAAAAGAAAAAAAAAGAATTACATTTATGGACTGTTGCAGTTGAATTCTGTTCGTAATACCCATGTATTATCCTTTGATTTAGACTACAATAGAGATGTCATCTCAATTTTCGGAAGATTACCTAATTGTTGCAGCCATTGATTTTGGGACAAGTTACTCAGGCTATGCCTACTCCACTAGACACGACTTTAAAAGAAACCCAACTGAAGTTTCAGCAAACAGATTGTTATCTGGCAATTACCAATCCTTAAAAACACCTACATGTATATTGTTCGATTCAGAAAAGAAATTTGACTCATTTGGATATCAAGCCCAGAGTAAATATGCAGACTTGGCATCAGATGGTTCCAAAGGGTACAAAAAATGGTACTTCTTTCAAAGATTCAAAATGAAACTATACAAGACACAGGTAAGATTTAGGTAACTTTAATCATTCTATAAATATATTAAAACAAAATATATTTATACCAAACTTTTTATCTATATATAGGTAATAAGATGACGAAAAGTGTTTGATCGGGTACACATTCACCGGTGTTCAGCATCATTTTGCACACTAGAAATGGTAAAAAAAAATATGAAATAGAGTTTTATGTGTAATTCATTTTCTACATACTGGGATTATGTAATAATAAAAGTTCATACACTCATTGACATGTATGTTTTCAAACTATTTTCTAAAAATTATCGTCCTGGCTTCAAGTCAAAATAAGTTCTGAAGCGATTCGTTTATAATTTACCAATTATAACCAATTTATTTTATCTACACACGGAGGACCCACAGGTGTAGTGTCATCTATGTAAACGCCCAATTAAGACCTCCATGCCAGCCCCAGGCATTCACTGTTATCCAGGTAAATCCAAGCTGCATTAATTTCACGCTTGATTGGCGTTTATGCACGCACTATCTAAACTTCGAGAGATAGAGGGTAAAAAACAATGAAATGTGTGTAACACATCTTGGTTCGAGAGATTTCGAGAGATAAATAAATTTGCTTAGTTATGTAGGTTCACTTCGAGTTATAGAGAACTTCGAGAGATCGGAGTTCGAGCCATCGAGAGTCAGCTGTATATAGGTAATAAGATCATGAAAACTGTTTAATCTACACATAAGCACATTAGCATCATTTGCACACTAGAAATGGTAAAAAATATGAAATAGATTTTTATGGTTATTAATTTTCTAACTTAAATAATGACATCAAAGTACGAGGGTCACTCAAAAAATACGTAGACAATGTTCCTCATTGTCATATTATTATTACAACATTATAGATGAACACATTTTCCTAAATAACATGTTTCTTTGCAGACAATCCATCGTCCGATTCAAACTCACGACCACTCAGAAATTGTATTTTCCACATTATACATATACACGGCTTATTTTCCATACATTTCCTGGCTTAAGCAGAATTTTTCTAAGTTTGTTAAAGAAGTTTCCCGAATGCAAAGCAAAATTTTATTGCTACTCGCTGCTCCTTCACGTCCTCCAACGTCATGGTTTTTCCCCATTTTTAATCAAGTCCATATGTATTTAGAAACTGATATCTTTTAAACAGAGCGACATATTACAGTACCTGATAGCATCTTAAGTAGTACAGTAAGACTTAATTCAAACATGAAAATTTTATTTCGTTTCATCTCCATTTATTAGAGGTATGACTAAAGATATTATAAAGTGAAAATTAGTAAATAACTCAGTTCTGATGTTGCTCCGTGACCACATTTTTGCTGTTCTAAATCTTGAATGATTTTTATAAATATGAAGATATATCAAACTTTCTAAATCAAATTTTTCAAATTTGTTGTTAAAATACCGGTATGTGTACGAAATTTGGATATAATATGACGTGAAATGAAAAGGTTCGGACAAAAGCCTTCGAAATTTTTTAATGTTCTCGTATATGCAGTATTTTAGCACAATTTGTGCCGTCTTGCGCTAACTTAAGTTGTCATACTTTGTGTATGTTTTATGTCTGTTGTACGAGAGCTGTCCAATAAATAATGTCCTTGGTGGTCAGAAAGAAAAAAACGCTTTTCAATAATTAGGTCTTAATGATTTCACTATTCTCTTTTCATTAAAACACATGTCCGTACCATCTTTGTCTAATTTCGTATTGTTTATGATACACATTTTTGAGTATGTCCCTTCTTATCCTGAAATATGGCAGATTCTGTGGTTTTCTGGACTTGTTTCTTCTTTCTGAAAGGTGTTTTTTTTTCAAGTTTGGAAATGAAACAAGTCAAAGGGTGAACGATCTGGAGAATGTCGTTGGTATAACAAACCATTACTATTTGATTATCTCCAAAACTCATTTACTCTCTTGAAGGCGTGTGAGTTTGGCCGCAGTCATGAAGAAATTCAATGTGGTGGATTTCTGATTCTGGGTCCATTTTCTCGTAAACCTTTCAATTTTTTTTAACAAAATGCTTTCTATATAGACTTCTCTAAAAATTTAATTGCCTCCTTGAATAAAAATTATTTGAACAACAAGATCTCTATATTTAAGAAAATTTTACGCAAAAATGTTTTTGTGCTTTCGCAATTTTTTTGGATCTTTTCAGACCTTGGCTGTTTTTGTAAAATGTTTCTTATTATATATTTGTTTCGAGGGCTTAAAGCAATGTATTTTATTTATTTATTTTATTGGAGTTTTATTATCCGTTTGAACTTCAGACAAACATGAATAACTTCAATATTTAATTTTTTCAAAATAAACATTTAGTTATACTTACATGCTGTCTTTTTCACTCATTTTTCAAAATATTGGGTGACCATTGTGTACTCGTACAAAGCTTTTTTATCGTCAAATGCAGTGTAAAATACCCCCAAATGATGCCTATCAATTTCGCTATGAGTCTAAAGGCAATCAAATATCGTCAGGGAAAATGTGCTGAATTTTGGCACTACACTACACTGGTTATTGTAATTCCTTTTCGCCAAGAACGGTGCCCATTTTTGATGCCCATTTTATATTTGTTCATTGATATACACCTGCTCATGTGTCTATAAAACAGGCATTAATAGCTGTAAATTTCACATATTTCAATGAATATTTCTTTTGGATTATTAACGAGTTAATTGCAGCAGTTTTAACAAAGCGGGTTTTTTCACCCGGATTACTGATTCTTTACCATTCATTTTTAATGCAGTGTCTAGAATATCCCTTGTTTTCCAGCTTCTCAAATGACAATATGTGATGAAAAGTGATTACAAAACCTGTTATCAATTCATGAAAGATTGAACAATGAGAGAAAGTCAAACTTGTCATCGAGCTATTTATTGAATAGTCCTCGTATTGATTCATGAAGGAGAGCGACGTTTAAAGTTCTCCATATCTAGACATATTTCCTTGAATCATTGTGCAGTAAAGTGATATATTGACAATCATTTATTTGCTGCTGTACTGTAGTTTGCTTATCTAAAAATATTGGAATGAACGCCAAGAGAACCGTTGAACACTAAAAGGACAAAAAAATGAACGACAGTTGCCACCCATTAAAGCCCATTATAAATGTGTATTTATTGCCCACATAAAAAGCGCTGTCCCTCGATTTAGCTGTCCGTATACCGGTATCAAACAGTAATCTCTAATTTTACTAATCTTGTGTTCTTAACATTTTTTTCATGATTTTCACAGCGAAACGTAAACTATTCTTAAAAAAACACTTTAGACTGAAAAAAGTTTGCCTATTCATACTGCCATTTTAGTTGGGAAAATCAGTTAGTAGGAATTTTATGCTATATATCCAAATGTAATGCTAAATTCTTAGACATTGCAGGTATTATACATGCTTTAAAGTCATTGATGACAACAATTAATTTTAATGATATTGCTGAAAAATTACCTAACCAATTAATTTTGACTAGCACCCATATTCGTTCAAAGTATAAAAATGAAGTTTTATTAAATAATCAAAGTGATGTTGAACCCACTGTGAAAAAGATTTTTGTGGAAAATGAATGGAAGATGATTTTTAATCTTCCATTAACATTTTCAAAAATTAGTTAACTTCAGTGGTTTCAATACATTGTTTTGATAAAAATACTAGCGACAAACGTTTATCCATGTACAATTAGGAGAAGAGAAGATAAATTCTGTTCTTACTACGTTGTGAAAGAAGGAAACAATGATATATATTTTATGGGAGTTTGATAATGTACAGACCGTCCTCAATAATTTTGAAACATAATGTGAGCAGACGATAGGGTTGCAATTTTCACTCACAAAGCAAAGAACTATATACGGTGTACTGCATATCTTTTCCCCAAAAAAAGTCAAATTTTGAAAAATTCTTGAAATGTGTTGAATTCTTTAAATTGTATAAGTTAACACAACATATAATAGTTTTTATGACGTCACAAACAAGTTCAATTTTATATCATTTTTAGAAAAAGGGCAAAATGGACAAAATTTCAACAATTTAGCTTTAAAAATTAGAGAGCGCAAGTTTGCTCAGGAACAATGTTTACACATTTCATGGATTTTATCATTCTTCACATTGAATCAAAACATTCAGCCTGATCACACTTGTGCACGGTGATTTTTACTCAAATTATCGACGTAATATATGTTGCGGGTTCTTCCTTATTTCCTTATAGTAAATAACAAAAGTCACAAGCGTTTTCACATTTATCTAGATTACAATATCTGTACATAGTATACTCAACAAAAAAAGAAACGCATATTCTGAAAAATATGAAAATCTAAGTTTTCAGTTTAAACCTTATTTTATTTAAGCGATTTTAAAGTGTGTTGTGATAAAAATCAAACATGTCCTATGTTGCAACTTGAAAAGTCAAGTTGATGTCATTTTCATTGCCCCCAAATTCAAGGGGCATAATAATTTGTACTGTGCGATGTCTCAATTCTAGTGGGTTTCCAATATACAGATATCGTGGAGGAATACCATCTCTTTTCAGTCTCTTGCGAACAATTTATGCACTTTTATGCTGATTTTTTCATCCAGCAATTGTAGCAGCAGTTTTTACAGAAAGTTCTGAATAGCATGAGGTGCTGAAAGGGGGGGGGTGTCTGACGGTCCTGCCTGATTGTGGTTACCTGCGGATGGCCAGATAACGGTCTTCAGACATTAGTTTAACGGTTGCAAAGCCCATTGATTTATTCCAAATACAGTTGCAACTTCCTGTTGCGTAGTTCTCTTTAGTATCATCGTTAGCCTGGTTGTGTTCATCTTTGTTTCGGCGTGGCATTGCAGCATCAACACTGCAATCAAATCTTAAATATGGGTTTAATAGGAGTGTTAATAGTTTCTCTAAATCCAAAATATTAACGAAAATAGACATCCGATTTAGAAGAAATCATGAAAAACACTACTTTCATAAACACGTTTAATCAGGGGAGATAATTCAACACTTTGGTTTTAAATCCCCATGTTGTCTTT